GTGCGCATTGCATTCTAGCCGCCAACCTTCTGCCGCTCTGGCCGAAGTTGTCCCTCGATGTGCCGTGCACCCCACCTGAGCTCGCTCCCTCTTCGAGCCACCCCCCCGTGCCTCACACGTGGGAGCGATGGAGCGGCATTTGGAGGTGTGCTGTCTGCCTACTGGGTCGACGAGGGGCAGGGAGTTGCCCGCCTCCATGGCGATGTGTGGCTTTTTTCCAAGTTGCATGCTGCCAAGCAGCAAGCGTTGGATCACCGCACGGTGGGTTTCAATTGCTCCGACGGCTCGGTCCTGTTCATCTGCCGACGATGCAAGTGCTACTCTTCAGGGGCCTCAGTCAGAGGCCTTGGCGGAAAATGTGCTCCCCCGCCGTCGCGTGCTGCTAGATCTGGTTGGCGATATCTGCTTCGCGACGACCACCCTCACTACTTCAAGCGGAAAGAACGGGCCACAGTCGACCTCGGCAACTGTATGGCCTGTTTTGACTCGTATGTCTTTGATGGCGTCGATAGACCGTCTGGAGTGGGTGGGGACTCGGTGGGTGAGACTGACGGGGGGAAAGAGGAGTGCGTGCACCGTCCTTGTGATGGCAAGGACGATATGTCTGCTGCAGCAAGTTCCCCCCCTCGAGAGGGGCCCATATGCGTGCGGAGTCGGCTAGAGGCCGAAGAGGACGCAGCCCCGCAGCCTCCTTCTCAGAGACCACTTCTAACGCCTTCCTTCCTGGCGAGACGCCGCCAGGACGAGTCGGACAGCTCGGATTGATTTCTTGTGGCGCAGGGCCGCCATTCCGTCTTCGTTTTGTTGCGCGGCCCGATGCGACTGACCCCTTTGGCAGGCATCCGTGCTTAACCCCACATCTGGGGCGAGCCCATAGGTCGTCCTGGCGCTGGCTGCACCAGGGACCGCGGGCTCGTCGTCCTTTTGTGGGTGGTCGAGTTTTCCCTGCGGCGAGGGCACGCCATCTGTTTCTCTTCTGCGCGGCCCGATGCGACTGACCCTTCTGGCAGGCATCCGTGCGTTACCCCACATCTGGGGCGAGTCCGTCAGTCGTCCTGGCGCTGGCTGCACCGGGGGCTGCGGGCTCGTCGTCCTTTTGTGGGTGGTCGACTCTTTTCTTTGGCTTGTTTTCGCTCTCTCGTTGCGTATGCGTCGTCGTGCACGTGCGTCAGGCACCCCATCTCTGGGGGAAGGTGCGCGCACATATTGGGTGCGCCTCTTCTGGGTCCGAGCACGGGGATGACTCCATCCTGACCGTGGCTCGGCTGGTGTTGCTGTGGCCTTGAGCGTAGGTTCAGGGCCCCAACATCCCCTCTTTTGGCGTTGGGCGCGCTTCTCGTGCGTGTGTGCGTTGCGCGTCCCACGGCTTTTGCCCTCCACGTCTTGGTGCCATCGCGGCCCTCGTGGGAGGGCGCTGTCTCGTCCGTTGTCCCTCTTGCGCAGCCGAAGGCAGTCGGCGCGAGATAGCGTTCCAGTTGCAGTTTCCCGACAGCTGGCTTTCTTTTATGCGCGTGCAGCTCGGGGTCCCCGTGGTCACGTGTGCCTGCCCCCTCTCTTAGAGATGTTGTGGCAGGTGCACTTTGTGCTTGGGCACCGTCGCGTGGCCCTTGGCCTCGAGCTGTCTCTTTGGCGCTGACTGGAGGTGGTCTCAGGCGACGGTGCCTAACTTTGGCACTGTTGCTTGCCTCCTTCCTCACAGCTTGCAGGCCCCGCCCTGCCAGCTGGTTGCACTATGCGGTGGATCTGTAGAGGTCAAAAAATACTACTACTACTACTACTAACTACTACTATTACTGCTACTAATACTACTATCACTACTACTACCACTACCACTACCACTACCACTACCACTACTACTACTACTACTACTACTACTACTACTACTACTACTACTACACTCTACTATTGCTACTACTACTGCTACTACTACTACTACTACTACTACTACTTCTACCACTATTCAGTTACTTCTACTACTACTAGTACTACTACGACTAGCATTTTCATTACTACAAGTAATAAACATACGAATACTAATCTTGTTAGTCGCAGTAGTATTACTTGCAGTAGTAGTAGTAGTAGTAGTAGTAGTAGTAGTAGTAGTAGTGGTAGTAGTGGTAGTGGTAGTGGTGGTAGTAGTAGTAGTAGTAGTGGTAGTAGTAGTAGGTTGTAGTAGCAGTAGTAGTAGTAGTAGTAGTAGTAGTAGTAGTAGTAGTAGTAGTTGTAGTAGTAGTAGTAGTAGTAGTAGTAGTGTAGTAGTAGTAGTGGTAGTCGTAGTCGTAGTAGTAGTAGTAGTCATAGTAGTCTTAGTAGTAGTAGTAGTAGCAGTAGTAGTAGTAGTAGTAGTAGTAGTAGTAGTAGTAGTAGTAGTAATAGGAGGAGTAGTAGTCGTTGTAGTCGTAGTCGTAGTCGTAGTAGTAGTCGTATGAATATGACTAGTTATGTGTAGCGGTAGTCGTAAGTCTGGTAATATCTTCTTCAGACAATATTACGCGTACTACTACTACTACTCACAATAGTAGTAGTGCTAATAATACGAATGATACTACTACTACTACTACTACTACTACTACTACTACTACTACTACTACAACTACCACTACAACTACCACTACCACTACACTACCACTACCCACCACTACCACCACTACACACTACTAACTACTACTTACTACTTACTACTACTACTACTAATACTACTACTACTACTACTACGACTACGACTACGACTACTACTACTACTGCTACTACTACTACTACTACTACTACTACTACTACTACTACTACTACTATCAATGTTCATTCTAATAATACGTAGACTATCAATAATACTGGGAATGCTACGTATGAATCAGGGGAGAGGAGGAGAAGGAGGAGGAGGAGAAGGACGAGGAGGGGATTTGAGGAGGATGCCGAGGAGCATCGTGATGATGATGATGACGAGGAGGAGGAGGAGGAGGAGGAGGAGAAGGAGGAGGAGGAGGAGGAGGAATAGGAGGAGGAGGAGGAGGAGGAGGAGGAGGAGGAGGAGGAGGAGGAGGAAGATGAATGGGAAGAGGGGAGGATGAGGATGAGGCCTCTCCAGGGCTTCTTGGGGCATTATTTTGGCCAAACTGGGTCGTGGACAAGAAGTCTCTATGTGAGGCTTCTTGGGGTCTCTCTGGAGGCCTCTGGCGGCCTCTTGGATGTATTTTTGGGACTTCCGGGGGCCTCTTGAGGCCTTTTTGGCGGATCTTTTGCGCCCCTGGGTGCTTCATGGAGATTTCTTATGGGTTTCTTGGGGGCCTCTCGGAAGTCTCAAATGCGACCTCTCATTTGCGAAGCAGCCGCCCTCATCCTGGTGGTAGCTGGAACTTTGATGGCGAATATCCGCGGCGCTCAGGCGAGGGACACTTTCTGGAAGCTGTCCGCGATTCATCTTCATGACTGGTAGAAGGATCTGAATATCAGAAAGAGCGTGTTCTACCGCTGCTGGCGGAAAACCGGGGGGGGTCACTACCGGTTCGAACCCCTCCCCCCCCCCCCCCCCCTCCCTAAAACCGGGGGGGGTCACTACCGGTTCGAACCCCTCCCCCCCCCCCCCCCCCCCTGCTCATCATGAAAAGGGGGGGGGGTCACTACCGGTTCGAACCCCCCCCCCCCCCCCCCACCCCCCCCTCGAAAACCGAGTGGGGGTGCGGACAGTGGTGGGGACGGTGTTGGTGGGGACAGTGGTGAGGGGACAGCGGGACAGTGGTGGGGACAGTGGGGGGACAGTGGGACAGTGGTGGGGACGGTAGTGGTGGGGACAGTGGTGAGGGGATAGCGGGACAGTGGTGGGGACAGTGGGACAGTGGGACAGCGGTGGGGACGGTAGTGGTGGGGACAGTGGTGGGGACAATGGTGGGAACAGGGGGGGACAGTGGACAGTGGTGGTGACGGTGGTGGTGGGGACAGTGGTGTGGGGACAATGGGAACGAGGTGGAAACAGTGGGACAGTGGAGGGTACAATGGTGGTGGGGACAGTGGTGAAAGCGGTGGCGAGGACGGCGGTGGGACAATGGGACAGAGGTACAGTGGGGACAGTGGTGGGGACAGTGGGGACAGTGGTGGGAACAGTGGGACAGCTCAGTGGGACAGCGGAGAGTCAGTGGGACAGTGGGGACAGTGGGGATAGTCGGGCAGTGGTTGGGGCCGTGGAGACAGTGGGGAGAGTGGAACCGTGGTGGGAACAGTTCTGGGGACAGCGGGGACAGTGCGACAGTGGTGGGGCCACTGGTGGGGACAGTAGGGGCGGTGGTGGAACCAGTGGGGACAGCGGTGGTGAGGACAGTGGTGCTGGGAACACCAGTGGGGGATGTGATGCGGACGGTGGTGGGGACCGGGAGTCGTTTGCTGGCGGTGAGTAGGGGGGGGGGGGGGGTTCGAACCGGTAGTGACCCCCCCCGGTTTTCCGGATCCGGAGGGGGGGGGGGGGGGGGGGAGGGGTTCGAACCGGTAGTGACCCCCCCCGGTTTTTCGAGCGGGAGGGGGGGGGGGGGGGGGTTAGGGGAGGGGGGGGGTTTTGGGGGGAGGGGTGGGAGGGGAGCAGGGGGGGGGGGATTTTCGGAGGGGGGGGGGAGACCCCGGGTTCCGGAGGAAAAGGTTGGCAATTTTCCACAGTAAAGCGGCGGTGGATCACGCTCTCTCGAATATCACGTAAGCGTGGTGCGACAAACAGTCGTATACGTTTAGAGGGGGGCGAGACCAGGGGCCCCTGGGCTGGGACCTGTGCCGCAGCATGGGGTACCAGGGCCACCTGGGCCAGGCCAGGATCCCAGCCACAAGTTCGCTCCCCGTGGCGTCCCAAGATCATCCCCAGGCGGCCCAAGATGCTCGGGAGGAGCCCGAGTGGACCTGGACACAGCTCAACAAGTTCCCAAGATTGCCCAGACGCTCCCAAGCCGCCCCGTGAGCGGCCCAGGAGAGCTCCCACGAGGCCCCCGAGACTCGCCTCTGCACGTGCGTCCCAGCCCCGCCAGGTGACCTCTCTTGCGCTCGGGCTGAGCGACGAGGAGATCCAGGAGGCACGCGTCGCCGCCATGGGGGGCGACGGGAGGCCTCCCTCCCTCCCTCCTGAGCCTCCTCCCTCCTTCCTCCTCCCCTCCCTCCTGCCTTCCTCGTCCCTTCCTCCCTCCTCCCTCCTTCCTCCTCTTCTCCTCTCCTCCCTCCTTCCTCCTCCCTTCCTCCCTTCTCACTCCTCCCTCCTGCCTCCCTCCTTCCTCCTCTCCTCCTCTCCTCCCTCCTTCCTCCTCCCTTCCTGAGCCTCCTTCCCTCCCACCTGCTTGGCATACTGGAGCAGCGTTGCACGCGCGGCCGGGCCTGCACCGCCGCCTCACGCGCGTTCTTGCGCAGGCGCTTTATGGCCCGAGCCTCGCAACCACGCTCGAGGCGCGGATTCGCAAATGGTTCGTGCCCAACCTAGGCTCGGCCATCTCTTGGGCAGGGGTTCATCAGGATGCGGGGCCGCTCCCCCACGCATGGTGCTCTGCTGCGCTCAAGACGTGGCCTGGAGGCTGGACGACGGCACACAGGATATGGAGACCCCAGGGAGGGTGCATCATGGGGTGTCCAGGGGCACCATACACACTCACCCACTCCATGAACTAATGCCCGTGCGGAGAGCGCATCGTAGCAGAGGCTTTGGGTAGGGATGTCCCCTCCTCTCCTCTCCTCCGCCTTGGCCTAACTAACCTCGGCGGCTTCCCATCGGAAATTTGCTTTCATCTTCGCGTACTTCCATTGCCACCGCCTGGTGGCCCACAGAAGTCCAGCCATGGGGGTGCGCCCTCGCCGATGTCGTGAAGATTGCTAGAAGTTGCCCAGGGGGGTGAGTTCACCGCCCTCGCCGATGGCGTGACGATTGCTAGACGTTGTCCTTGTGGGGGCCAAATGAGCTCCTGTGGGCTCAAAGCTGACGTTCGACCTCTTTCTCCTTCTCCCTCTCCTGGGCCTCCCTCCCTCGTCCTCCTCCGAGGGAGTGGTGCCCCTTGGGTGGCTTATTGGGGAGGGACGACCGAGAGCGGCGTGTCGTTACGTGAGGCCTCGAAATCGTCAGAACGTTTTTAGCTGCGCTGCGTGATTTTGCTTTTGGCGTCTCGCACACTGGTCGCGCGCATCGGGTCTAGACGCCTGCAGCCCTCGTTTTGCGTGTCTCCGCGGTAGGCCTCGCCGCCTCCAGCCACCAGAGTCTGGACGAGCCCGCGCGGACTCCAGTCGTGAGAGAGGCGATGGGGTGGTTCTGGAGCCATCAGTGCTCGAGCCGACTCCTGCTCTCACGGTTGGCCCAAGGCCCCCTGACACGGTGCGCTTTTGGGTTGCTCCACTCCACTCCACGCCACTCCTCCCCCTTCCCCCCCTCCTCCTCTATTCTTTTTCCCTTAGTCCATAACTTCTCCTTGTTGCACCCCGAAGCCAGTTTTCAGGGCGGGCTGGGCGTTTCGCCTGAGACTTCCTCATTACGTGTGACCCTGAAGCTTAGACATTGGCAACAGTTTCACATCTGGAGTGCGGGTTGTTTTCAACATGTGGCTCTCGCCGTAGCGCTGCGCACATTCCTTTTAAGAATTTGCAAGATTTCACGGATCGAGGGCGGGCCGTTTTCAAAATATGGTTCTCCTCTGAGCGCCGTGCACATTCGTTTCAAGCATATGCAAGAGCTTCACAGATGGAGGGCGGGTTGTTTTCAACATGTGGCTCTCGCCTTAGCGCCGCGCACATTCGCTTTTAAAGTTTGCCAGAGCTTCACGGGTTGAGGGCGGCTCTTTTTAAATGTGTTCGTTCGCCTCTGCGCCGCAAGCATGTCTAAAACAAACAACTTGAAAACGTTTCACGGGTTCCCATGACCGACGTACCAGAAAACATGTGTTTTGGACAGACTCAGGGTTATGAGGGTGCAACAGTTCTTTCGATTCGCGGTGTTGAAGACCCAGGACTGGCGCTCTGGCGCGATTCAGGAGTGTCCAGACGCAACAGTAAGATTGATTCGTGGCGCTGGAATCCAGAGAACAGTGTTTCGGCATGCAGCAGGGATTTCAAACGGTTGTTTTTCAACGAAGCAGTTCCCTCAGTGGAAATGAACCGTTGTAGGGGCCTACGAAAAGGGAGCTTGGAGGGAGGGTTTGTTCCAACATCGCTGATGATTCTTAGGTTTACGCTGGTCCTCCTCCTCCTCCTCCTCCTCCTCGAAGCGGCGGCACTTTCGACTGGCGCCCGCAACCCCGCATCAAGACGCAGCGGACCCTTCAGCGCGGTGTCACCCCTGCCTTGTACCTTTTCTGAAGATGCCCTCCTCCACGTCAGCAAGGCGCGGCTTGGCCGCTGGTTTACCCTTGGGTTGGAAGAGCTGCAGCGCGTGGTTTGAGCGGATGTTCGGGAGATGCTCAGCGCTTCCTCCCCCTCGTGGAGGATGGCAGCCATTCGCACCTGGACGTGCGGGTCGGTGTGGAACACCCGTCTTCGCAACCCTGACCCCCGATGCATCCTAGGCTGTGATGCCCCAGACTCTCTGGCTCACTACGCGAGGTGCTCTGGATTCTTTGCCCGAGCGGCCCTGGCTGCTGGCACGCCGTTGCCATCGTCGATGCTCTACTTGTTGGCCCTCTGTCCTTGCTCCCTTCCTCGGCTGCGGTTTGTCGCTATCCTTTCTCGCTTCCATCTCCTCTTCCACAAGCGGAGATGGTCAGGCGGATGGGTGCCCTCGGATTCCGTGGCGGCCGTTTTCGCCCGCGCTGCGCGCCTCGCAACGACCTCCCGCACAGTGTGGGGGGCTCGTCTATGATTGTGGATTGAGCTTTCTTGGGGACGCTCAGCCTCCTCCTCCTCCTCCTCCTCCTCCTCCTCCTCGAAAGAGCCCGCGCTACAGCACGGCTGCTCGGGGATCGAGTTACTCTGGGAGGAGTTTTTGTTCGACGATGCCCTGGTCGTCGTCCTCCTCCTCCTCCTTCCTCTTCCTTCTCACCCTTCTCTTCCAGCTCCTCGCTCCTCTTCCTCCCCCTCCTCCTGCTTCCTCCTGCCTTCTCCCAACAGTCTAGTAATGTGCCGAAGTCTGGGTCGGACGAAGCCAAGAGACCCTTAGTAGTTTTTGTTTGACGCCTTGTCGGTTTTGCCGTGTTTGTTGACTGGACCCTAAGTTTGAAAGAGCGCGTTCTGTGGTCGCTTGGAGGGGGGGGCTGGAACCGGACCCCCCCCCTGGATGGAGTGGGGGGCGGTTTCGACCCCCCCCTCCACTCCCCACCTCCTCCCCTACTTCTCCTCTCTCCCTCTCCTCGGGCTGGCGCCCGCGGCGGCTGGCGGCGGCGGCGGGGACGACGACTTCCTTTTCCGGGCCGGCGCCAGCGCCTGCGGCGGCGGGCGGCGGCGGCGGGGAGCGTCCACGAGGGCGACGGCGACGACGATGACGACGACGACGACGCTCCGCCACCGTGCTTTGGTTTTGAGTCAGAATCCAAATTGATGCCTCTTGGGGTCTCGTTGGACGGCTCTCGGGGGCCTCTGCAAGGCATTTATGAAGCCTCTTTGGCGCCTCGTGGGTGTCCCTTGAGGCCTCTCTGAGATGGTGGTGGTGGTGGTGGGCTGTGGTGGCGGTGGTGGTGGTAGTGGTGGTGCTTGTGGCGGTGGTGGTGGTGGTGGTTGGTGGCGTGGTAGTTGGTGGTGGCTGGTGGTGGCGGTGGTGGCGGTCGCTGTGGTGGCTGGTGGTGGCGGTGGTGGCGGTTGCTGTGGTGGTTGTGGTGGCACGTTGTGGTGGTGGTGGTGGCGGCGGTGGTGGTGGTGGTGCGGTGGTTTCTGGTGGTGGTGGTAGTTGTGGTGGTGGCGTTGTGGTTTGTCGTGGTTTGTTGTGGTTGTGGTGGGTTGTGGTGGTTCTGATGGTTGTGGTGCTTTTCGTGGTGGTGGTGGTGGTGTAGTGGTTTGTGGTGATGGTGGTGGTTGTGTTGGTGGTGGGTTGTGGTGGTTGTGGTGGTGGTGGTTGGTGGTGGTTGTGTGGTGGTTTGTGGTGGTGGTGTTGAGGCCTTCGGCTCCTCCCGCCACTGTGTTTTGGCTTTCCGTCAGAGTTCTGATGGATGCCTCTTGAGGTCTCGTCAGAAGGGTGTCGGGGGCGTCAGAGGAGCATGTGTGAAGCCTCGTGGACTTTCCTTGGCCGCCTCTCAGTGGCTTCTGGGGGGCGAGGGCTCGATATGGCGATTGGTGTGTTCCTCGGGGGGGGGGAGGGGTTTGGACCACCCCCCGCCCCGTCCCCTGGGCCCTTTCTGGTCATCGTCGCTGCGTTCCCGCCGTCGGCGCTGCTGGCGGCCAGCGCTGGCGCTGGCGCCGGCGCCGGCGCTGGGGGGGGGGGTTCGGGAGGGGGGGGAGTTAGGGGGAAGAGGGGTCCCCCTGGTTCTGATCGACGGCGCCGTGTTTTTCTGGGGGGGCCCACCCCCCGCTTCGAAACGCGCCGCCGAATGTTCCCAAGGCAAGCGCCCGTGAAACGCGCTCTCTCCCAAGTTTCGGTCCCGCCCGCCTGCTTGAAGCAGCCTGCAAGTGTTGTGTCGTGGCGCTCCTGGCCGCAGGGATACTTCCGTTGTGTGTGCCGAAGGAGTGTCTGGGCCCCCCACGTGCGAATTGCACCGCAGACTTGTGCACTCGAGGAGCAATAGTAAATGTTTCATTCTAGAGATTGGCACATCTTGACTCGTGTTCCTAATGAGATCGCCGCCGCCCTCCTCCCTCTCACCCTCCACCACTTTTTTTCCAGACCAGCATTCGGCCGCGGGCCTCGTCGCGTCTGACTGACAACGAGGACGCAACCAGCAAGCCGTACATCAGCAAGCAGCCGCAGGGGACCTGGTGAATGTGAAGATGCGTGGGAAAGGGGAGCCGCCCGTGCGGGCATCTAGTAATAGCGCGTGCTGTAAAAAGGAGGTGAAGGAGTAAGCCAACAAGCACGGTCTTGTGCAATATTGGAGGTGACTTTATGCTTTCTTGGGCCATATTGGATCGATCTTGGGCCTATGGACGCTCAGGAGCCTCGGGCTCCCAAATCCAGACCCAG